ATTGTGCTAACTTCAGTATACACCCCAGATATTCCAGCTGTTGGGTATTCAAGTTTTTTTAAAATGAAGTCAGAATGTTCTGTAGAAAGCACATATACTTTTTGCAAAATAATTAGTTTAGGTAAAACCCTGATTCTGCTTCCTGTCTCATCTGACAATTTAATCAGTAGGATGAATAATATTAAAAAGGATAACTTCAATTCAATAATGTTAAAATTCATTTTAGTTACCATTATGGAAACACCAAAGGAGAGACCATAGTGTTATAAGCACATTTAAAATATTAAAACATCAACTTACCAGCCAGAACCTTTATGATGAGAGCATTTAGAGCATGAAACCAGTTAAAAATAAATCTCCTGTAGTACAATAGAAATGGTGCATTAAATATAGTCTTTCTTTTACATGACAGTAGTATGATGCACTGGAATTTTACTTTAAAAATGAACATACAAAATGTGCAATACCTAAAACACCAAAAATATTTTCTGAAGCTCCTAAGAGACCGTAAACACATCAGAGCAATACTAGTGTTGGTTTATAGGGTTAATAGGTTACAGTAGATAATTTTTCAAATCAAAGCCAGCAAAGACAGATGTCACCTAGGGAGTGGACAAATAAAGGTTTTAGATGCTTTAAAAGAGGTAGATGAGCTGCCATCTGGGTGCATATATTGGCTGCTACGATCTCACTGTTACAAATACATGAACCTGTGACTTTGATCCCAAATGAAGCAGGGGTAGTTGGAGCGGCTTTGCTATACCTGCAGCATACTTATTATTCCTGTGCGAAGCAGAAAGTATTCACTTTGGATTCGGAGGGACAGTGATTCGATCTGGTGATTTGAATCATTGCCCCCATTGGGGACGCGTACGGGGGGCACACGGGTGCACATGCACCCCCTGAGCTTGGTGGTGCAACCCCTGCAAAAAGGTACTGCTAACACTGCCGGCGGTGCCTGTGGGTGGTCACAGCTCACCATTCCCCCCTCCCCCTGACACTGCTGGTGGCGTCTGCTGGTGGTCCCCAATTGCCACTGGCCACCACCTATGCTACCAGTGGCATCTGTGGGTGGTTGCTGACCACCCGTGGGCAGTCACCACCCCGCACTCTCGCCGCTGATGGGACCACAGCTGCCTGCGGAAGCTCACTACTTGCTGCCACCATGCTCCCACTGCCAACAGGGCTGCTGCTGCCTGTGAGAGTTTGCTGTGCCCCCCACAGCCTCCGGAGGCACGCAGCGTTCATGACTGTCCAGATTTGATTTGGCCAAATCCAAAAATATTTGGCACCAAAACTTATTTTGGTCATAGACTATACAGACAGGCAATACCAGTGGGAGCAGCTGGGGGAGCTGCTGGATGAGCCCTGGCATGAGCCAGCAGCCCCAGGAGAAGCTGCAGCTTCTCCAGCTCCTCCCCTGGCTGCCCCTCTGCCGGGGCAAGGCAGGCAGTGCTGGCAGCTCTGGGAGAAGCCGCAGGGGCTGGGGGGAATGATCAGGGAGCTGGGGAATTGAACCAGGAGCTCAAGGGAAGCCCCTGTTTGTTCCCCAAGCCCCCGATCATTCCCCCCAGCTCCTGGTTTGATCCCCCAGCTCCCGATTCAATCCCCGAGCTTTCTGATCATTCCTCCCAGCCCCTGCAGCTTCTCCTGGGGCTGCCGGCTCAAGATACGGCTCATCCAACTGCTTCCCCAGCTGCCCCCCCCTGCCAGGGCGAGGCAGGCAATGCTGGCAGCCCCGGGAGAAGCCGTGGGGGCTGGGAGGAATGATCAGGGAGCTGGGGAAACATTTGGGAGCTGCGGGATCAAACCGGGAACTCGGGAATCAAACCAAGAGCTGGGGGGAATGATCGGGGGCTCGGGGAATGATCAGGGGCTTCCCCCCAGCTCCTGGTTCAACCCCCCAGCTCCCTGATCATTCTCTCCAGCCCCTGTGGCTTCTCCCGGGGCTGCCAGCACACCTTGCCTCACCCCAGTGGGGATGGGGGAGCTGGATGAGCAGCTGGATGAGCCACGGCTTCTCCTAGGGCTGCTGGCTGAAGCCTGGGCTTGTCCAGCTGCTCCCACAGCTGCTCCTGCTGGACCTGCCTAGTGCCTGCCTGTACAGTCTAGGGCTGAATCTCTGAATCGATTCAGAGGCTTCCGATTCGATTCAGAGAGATGAATGGGTCTCCCAATTTGATCTGGATTTGGAGATTTGGCTGCCAAATTGGGCCAAATCTCCTCTGAATCGAATTGGCTACCAAAGCTTTGCACAGCCCTAATACTTATATATCAGTCCCAGAATCACACAGACATGATAACTAGCCCACAACACCTTGAATTGGCATCCTTTAAAATGATGCAGTTACTATATGTTCTTGAATATAAGCTGATCCTCCAATAAGTAGATTCTATATTTGGAAAATGTATACATTTGTTATAATCTTCCAAGTACAGGATCTAACTATTGGAGTTTTGCCTTGAATATATCTCCCTATCACTTCTCCAGAAGGGAAAATAAATCTGGGGGGTTG